AGAGAGAGAGAGAGAGAGAGAGAGAGAGAGAGAGAGAGAAAGAGAGGACCAGATCATAATCGCATTTGCCTACTAACAGCACCGAGCTCACAAAGCCCACTGTGTGTCATCAGCGTCAGCACTCAACTTCTTCGCAGTGCCACTTCAAACAGTAGACAAAACAGCGGCATACACCGGCTTTTGAAAAGCGCAGATAGAGAATGTTTCGTCTCCTCTTGACGTAACCAGCGGTGAACATATCTTTTTGTCGTTGAGACAGTTTTGCCAGCGCAAAATCGACCGTCGACGGATGAGCGAGAGTCTCTTGAGAGAATTTAGCGCCAGTGTTTTAGTAAAAAAAAGTAGAAGAATTTGGAAAGACAACTTTTGAGATGCAGCAGTAAACATAAAAAAAGAACATCAAAAGTTAACTTGACCAAACTTTGATTTTCATTTTGCATATGAGGGGTAAGGGAAACACACATTTTGAAAAACGGTTGCTGTCTACCGCTGACTGGCACTACCAGAAGATTGCCTCGATTAGGTGGCCACAAAAGTGCACACAGAGCAGCCCCGGTCAATTGGCCACTGTTTTCCTTGACCAGTCGCCGGTTTTTCGTCGGTAAGCAAAGTGTTTGCTGTTGTTTGCTGTGACACACACACTCTCCCCTTTTCAATTTCATATCTTTTTCCTCCCATTTTGTGCAATCATCTGGGTGAACAGCTTTGACACAGAAGGCCAGCACTGCTGCTGCTGCTGCTGCCTAGCCAACTGCAAATGCATGACGACATTTTGATGCCTTCAATCAGAGTATGCTTCGCTGCTTTGAATGAGCAGGCGATTTCAGAGGCGCCACGCTTTAAACATTGCTTTATTGCACAGCGCAAAACCAGCATCAAAACTTTTGATGGCAAAAAAATGAAAACAAAAAGCTCTGCTGCTGATGCCTGCTCAGCTGAGGAGGCGGAAGCAAAAAAGCCTACAACTTCTTTACACTATCAAAATAACAAAGCAGTCGAGCTCAGTTTCGATTTCACATTTCAAAACAAAACGAAAACTTTAATTTGTTTTTTACAAACGTCGACGATGGGTGCACTACACACAAAACTCAGTTTAACTGAAAAGAGGAGACCTCCTAGAAAGAAGCTCTACTAGAGCTTTCTGCCAGAATTAGAACTGCCAGTTTACGGTTAGTCTGGTACAGCATCATCCAAGAGTAAAGTGTATTTTGATAAAAGTGTCAATCGAATTTATAAAGGAATAAAAAAAAAGAGCAGTGTCAAAACCGGTCGCATTTTTCTCTTTTATACTTTTGACAATAAAGAAAAAATAATTGAGAAAATACTCAATTAAGAAAATTTTTTTCTTTGTCAAAGATCATCATCAAATTTTTGGTTGTGTAGTTAAACCGATCAACCGATTCTTCAGGACATTGAGGTAGAAAGGTCAAGTGCAGTGTGTTTGACAAACAGACAGATTCGGAATGACATCTAATGTTAGATTTATTTACAGTGTAAATTGGACCCTGTGTGGTAGAGCGAGTGTAAAAACAAACTGGCAGCTGTGATAAAGCTAAAAGAGAGCTGCTGCTTTGTGAAAGCAAAACTACCAATAAAATATCACAATCTATCGAGAAAACTTGGCTCGGACGTAAAGAGAAACGTAGCCCCCGGTTCGGAGGACCAGAAAGATGATGATAAGGGCGACAAAGTTGGAGACCTCACTGTGGTTGCCCATGTCGAGAAACTCAATGACGCCCTTGCCGTCGGGAAGGCAGATGCCCATTGAGGGACCGTGGGGCTTGGCAGTGGTTGCCGACGCCGCCAAAGAAGTGGTCTCTAAAGTAGTGGCCAAAGTTGTTGGCACAGTGGTGGTGGTCATCAAGGGAACTTTTGAAGAGCAGTTGAGGTGCTTAATCTCCGACCACTGGTTTCGCATCAGCAGGTCAAAGCCGTAGTAGAACCAGGAGAGGTTCTGCGCCCAAGAAAGGAAGCTTGGCATGGTTCTAGGAAGTTAAGGATGAAAAAGCAGTTCAAAAAGGATTCTTGAATCTCTTGAAACTCACTTGCTGTTGAGGTAAAAGCCGCCCAGGAGCTGCAGCGGAATGATGATCGGCGGTCCAGCAGAGAGGGCGAGGTCGGTGTTGTTACACAGACACGATATAAAATATCCTGGGAACCATAATATTTTAGTTAAAGATGACACAGAGTCTTGAAGTAGACAACAACAAACCGTAGGATACTCCAATGGAGGAGATGACAATGCCGACGACGATGAGGTAGAGAAAAGCGTCCACGTCCTTGTTGAAGCCAATCATGTAGTAGTTGATGCAGCCAACAAAGATGGGCAGCAGCACAAAGATTGGCATCTCCGCCAGGTTCTTCGTCACGTAGTACGAGTCGGGGCGGTACATGCCAGAGCCGTACTCGCGCAGAAAGACGGGCAGCTCAGAGCAAAAGACCTAGTTGATAAAGCTTTGTGGTTTAAAAAACCCCAATAAAAAAACATGTCCGCCCACTCACATTGACCACCGCAAAGGCGTTTTGCATGGACAGATTGAGGAGATAAATGAAGAGGGCGCCGTTGATGTTCATCACGCCGCGCTCATTCAGCTCCTGGCCCCAGAAGAAGATGCCCAGGATGGTGGCCACAATCTAAAGTGTCACAAAGTAGGAGATCATTTTAGAGAACTTTTTCCAAAATCATCTTCTCCTTACAATGCCCTGTCCCAGGCGAACGGTGGTGAGCAGCGGCTCACGCTGAGTGATGAGCGATGATCGCCAGGCCAGGGCCTTGTACTGCGTCAGACAGCTCACTTTGTAGGAGGTGGTGACCGTTTTCTGCACAAAAGTCGTCTGCTGCTGCTGCGCCTCGCCCGACATTGGGTGCAGCTTCCGGTGGTAGCTGCAGATCTTGTCGATCTTTTCGTGACAGGCCTCCTCCTTCCCCGGAATGACCGCCAGCTCCTGGACGTAAAAGTCGGCCGGGTTGCTGGGTGGATGAAAAGAGGGGTGGATGAAAATAGCAACATATTCTTTCGACTTGAAAAAACTTGTTCACAAACTAACTAGTTGAGCGGACAGGGCAAGCCGCAGCTTTTAAAGTACTCCAACGCCTGCTGGGTGTTGCCCATGTAGGCCACCTGGCCGTCGGCCATTAGCAGCAGATTCTCAAAGAGGTTAAAGACGTCCGTCGACGGCTGGTGAATGGTGCAGATGATAGTGCGCCCCTTGGAGGCCATCTTGTTGAGGTACTCCACCAGGTTGGCCGCCATGAAGGCGTCCAGGCCGGAGGTGGGCTCGTCACAGAACATGATCGAGGGGTTGGTGAGAATCTGAAGGTAAAAAAGGAGGTAATCTCTCACTTGAACTTTCCAGCTTTCTAGTCACTTACTTCGACGGCAAAAGCGAGACGCTTCAGTTCACCCCCCGAGATGCCCTTGCCGGTGCTCATCGTCCCGCCGACGATGGTGTCGGCGCACTTCTCCAGACTGAGCTCGCGCATCACCTCGACGATGCGATCGGCCTTCTCCCGAGGGCTGATGGCGGCGTTCATGCGCAGCATCGCCTGGAAGACCAGGTGCTCGCGGACGGTCAGCGTCGCCAGAAAAAGGTCCTGCTGCTGAACGTACGCCGAAACCGAGGTGATCATGTCCACGTCCGCCGTCTGCCCGTTGATTTTCACGCAGCCCTCTACGGCAAAGTTGGAGAGGTTTCGGGCGGTGAGGACGTTGAGGAGGGTGGTCTTGCCGGCGCCCGAAGAGCCCATGATGGCCAGAGTGGAGCCGGCGGGAACGTGACCTGAGACTGGTCAGGACAAAAAGTGATCAGTGGAGTAAAGTTTGAGTTTTCAAAGAGTGATGTACCATTCTTGATGATGTGAACGGAGTTTTTCTTCTGCTGGAAGAAGCCAGTCTGCGGAATGGAGCGAACATTGATGTTGTACCAGGCGATGGAAGAGGTCACAAAGGTGCTGGTAGTTTGAGGAAGTTCAGACATGGTCAACGGTGATGAAGTCAATGTGATTTTTTTTGACTTGAAAGAAAAATAAAACTTTTTGCCAGCAGTGACAAGTCACTTTATGGTGGAGGCAAACATTTCGAACTTTTGGTTAAACTTAGTTTTTTAAACGCGAATTTCAACAAACAAAATAACTTTATTTGTGTTTACAAGTCATAAAAATGTCTTATGCTTTTGGTACAAATGACCAGCAAAGCATTTTCGCCCGCCAAAAATGGGAGAGATTTGAAGGAAGATTAAGTGGGGACTAATAGGGCCAGCAGCCATCAAATTAGTATCTGCGCTGCAGCAAAACACAATTTGACGGAAATTAAAAACGGCTACCAGATAAAAGAGAGGGGGAGAAAAAAGTCATCTTCATTCAGACACATTATTATTGTTGCAAACAAACACACGCACACACACATATAGCACACATCTGAGAGTTCGGATAAAGTAATATCGCAGTGTGGTGCACTGTGCTATTTGGTGCTGCGACCGGTCATCTGATTTCATCTGGCACAGCAGGCAACGCAGTGTAATGTGCTCAATGTGTCGAGGGGCACNAAGAGCAAGGAAAAATAGCAAGCAGCAACTAAATAGCCAGACCAAACACAAAGTTCATATTGTGGCGCCAGCCACAAACGGCGTACACTCGCGTCCAGCTGACATGCACGTTCAGCCAACGTTTGACCTAACGCACATGTTCACCCACTGCTTGTCACACTCAATGCTTGTTACACACACATCACACACATCACATCAGGGTTCACTCTCTTGTCTCCCCACACAGTTCACCTTTGTCACCCATCACACAACAGTACATAAGCTATCGTAAGTTCACACACCACAACAGTCTGTCTTCAACACTTACCAGACTCCGTTACTCTGTTCACCATCTCATCCACTTCTTCTTCTTCTTCACCAGTCTCCTCATCTCCACAATAAACTTCGATAGCTCATCCGCTACAATATCAAAATATCGCAGTGTGGTGCACTGTGCTATTTGGTGCTGCGACCGGTCATCTGACTTCATCTGGCACAGCAGGCAACGCAGTGTAATGTGCTCAATGTGTCGAGGGGCACATTGAGCACCAGCAGCAATCGAGGGTGTAATCGTAAATTACAATTGCGGGGCAAATGATCTCTTTGCTTCGTACCTTTAAGGCGAATCTAAGTGCGCCTGCAAAGTCTGCCAAGCAATTCGACTGTCAACAGTGACTGGCGGTGAGCACGCTTTGAGCAATTTGAGGCAGCAGGAGCAGCAGGGAAAGCAACTACCTTTGAATGGCCACCAGCAACCAGAGGCTCTCGACCAAAAGGAAAAAATGGCAGAATGAGCTCACTTTCATTTGGAGCAAACTCTCATTCTCAAAGTCTAGGGTCAGAGATTTGAAGCCGACGATAAGTGCCGCTCAGAAGTGACGCTTTGAATTTTAGATAGAATGTGCTTCAATCAGCAAAATGGCCGCAGCTCAACAAAAAAGGCAGAAGTTGAAAGCAAAGTAAGGGCATTCAACGAAGAGAACAAGTGGAAAAAGTGGAGGAAATTAATTGCAATTGCGATAGGGCAAATTATTATTTACTAAATATTAAATAGCACTAAAAATGAGTTTTTCCTTGGTCCATTTACAGTGGTGGTGGTAGCAAAAAAAGAAAGAAAAAAGAAAAAAATAGGAAGTTGAAAGAAAAGCCGACTTCAGAGGTCCGTTTTAGCGTTTGCACAAAACAAAAAAATCTTTCATCAATCGACCAGCACTCACTACTCAGCCGCCTTGCACTTGAATTAATCTCATTGCGAATTAGTGGTTGGCCAACTCAAGGGAGCGAAAGATGAACCAAATTAGCAGCAAAAGTCACTTACAAGTGGGTTTAAAAAATACCACACAACCAAGCTCTCAAATTTCACACTAATAAGGTCTTACTAATCGTCCAATTCGTCAGTGCCAGAGAATTGACAGATAAAAAGAGCGGATTAACAGGCTGCCATCTCCCTTGAATGATTTGCAATTATTGCCACAGTTTTTTACAGCTAGAATTCTCAAATGCTCACAATAATCAAAATTGTCTTTTGGCAGTTGTAAGTAGTTGTAAATTGTAACAAAACACAGAAAAAAACTTGACGCAAATTTGAGTAAAGAGATACAATGTAAAAGAAGCAGAAAGTGCACTTACCTGATTCAGCTGGCTCAGGGGATGATCGTTAGCATCATTCGTTTATTCTTCTAGTTGAGAAAAGGAAAAAATGTTGCATTGTTGCAAAAACTGTAAGTGAGTGCAAAAACTTGTTAAACATGAACAGCGAGTGCCAAGTTTGTCTTGATTGTTCGAAGATGCATAGGATAAAATGAAAGAAATATAAGAAAAAGATGTGTGTGACAGAAGATGGAGAGGACTGCACATTTTCATGATTTTTGTTTGCTTGCCTCATCAACTTTTTGCTTCTGGTAAAACACAATTCTAGAAAATTTTGCGTTTGTGCCTGCCTGCCTGCTGGCTAAATCTCGTCAGCAAATAGTTGCCTGACCACGTGCGACAATAAAACTAATAACCAGATGACTGGACGGCGCCCAAAAGTGCCAGTGGCGCCTAACGAGAGCATCGGTATTCACCAGCAGCAGAAGCATCTCTCTAATGAGCAAATTAAAGCGCCGCTGCACACAGTGTCAATGTCCGGCGATCTCTTTATCTCAGCATTTTGTTGCTTTCTCATTCGGTTCCTTTTTTTCTTTCTGACGACGCTAATTTGTAATTCAGACTACCAAACAGAAACAAGTCTTCCGTTAGGCTGCGTACCAGTGTTTTTAGTTTCCAGTTACATTGACGAAACTTACAGCAACTAAGTAGCAAAGCACCCAGAGAAGTTTTTCAAATATTCAAATTCTACCGAGTTGCAAAAATGGTATTTGCAACTAAAGTCCGCAGGGAGATCCGTAGGGATCTGAAAACAGCAAATCTTTTGTTTTTGTTGAAAATTAAGACCCTTTAGACAGTGTGTAGTGTAGGGAGACATTCTGGTAAATGGCAGTGTCATTCTGAATGAACCACCGTCGTTGCACCGCTCATTCAGCAATTGTAAACTTTTTGTTCCTGCAACTACAACAACTAAAGTTGCTTCAAACTATCACTTGACACGGCATAAAGGTTAGCAGAAGAGCAGAATAATTGTGCACATGCATGCAAACAATTGCCCATGCTTGTCATGTCAGCCCTAATTCAACGAGGTTCAGCACTTTTATTGTTGTTCATTTGTTCATTTTTTCAAAAGCACATCATTTGAAAAACAAAGAGCAAAAACAACTCGTGTTACAAAAAAGAAGACAGCAGAAATATTTCGTTAACAGCGCAGTATTAATTAAAACAGTACCGGAATGGCACTGAAAGGGCATTACAAGTGCATTATTCGGAAAGGAAGAAAGAAAACAAGTGAGTGAGTGAGTGGGTAAGTGCTGCAAAAACAAGCAAACAACAAAAAACAAACTGAGGTGCTGCTGCTAATCGGCAGGAGTGCATCACTGCGAGAAGAAGACAGCAGGCAGAGAACATTTCACCCGAGCAGATTTGAAAAAATTTTCTCATTCTCTTTTTTTTTCAACTCACTCACTCACTTCTTTAACGCTCAACCCAAGCTCAGCTTTTAGAAATGGGCTCCGTTTTGAATCCTTTGCCGTCCCATTTGGTCAGAAACTGCTCCGGTATTGGGTGCTCAACCTGAAGGAAGAAAGAGAGAAAGAGGGAGAAAAAGAAAACAAAGTGAACAGTGAGCGGTGGTGGTGTGCAGGCAAACAAATAATGGCGATTAGTGCAATCAAATAGCGAGCGAGTGAGCTCGGGCACAATCCTAATGCAATAACAAAAAGAAGAAGAGAGAGTGAGTAAGCTTACATAATCTCCTTTGGCATTGGGCACGGAGATGTTGACAGCGGAGCTCTTTGAGCTGACGATGCTCGCCTGCTCCAGCGCCTGCTGGCTCAAGTACAGCTCCACGGCGTCAACCACGTCGATGGAGATTGTCGGCACCGTTGATAGCGCCTAGAAAGGGAGAAAAGGAAAGGGAAAGAAAAGGAAGAGGAACAAATTAAATTAAACCCAATTGGCCAGCACACTGCTTCGCGGACGCCTCCGCTGAGCAGCACAGCTAATAATCAACGGCAGCAAAAGGAACTGTCCGTAGGTCTAATTACGACGTACTTGAGCCTGGATGTTCTGACATCTAGTGAACTCGACGGTGCCCATGATTGCCTCAAAGACGAGGGAAAACTGAAATAAATTGCAAACAGTAAATAATCAGTATTTTAGAAAATCAGCACTCAATAACAGAAGCAGACCTTTTTGCACTCGATGACGTTTATGGAGTGCACTTTGCCCTTGACGCTGAGGACGCAGTTGTCACAGCGGAAGACGGTCACCGTCTGGCCCATCTCCGCCTGCGGAATCTCCAGGTCTCGCCGGCCGCTCAGATTCTCGATGATCCACTTCTTGCCGTCCAGTTCAAATTTCTCCGGACCTCGGCTCTTGCCGCCAGGACCACCACTACTCGGAGCATTGCCACCAGGAACCGTAGATGAGGTGCGCAGCGCCGCATTCTTGTGCGTCATCTGGTCGGCGTTCACCTTGCGCAGGCCCTTGGTGATGTCAGTGCCGCGGTTGATATCGGCGAAGAGCGCAGCCCGGGCGTCATCCATCGCCTTGTCGCCGCCCCCGTGAGCCGAGGGACCTAGGTTGAGGTTGCACGGAGGAGGGGGCGGAGGCGGTGCACCACCAACACCACCGGGGATCGTTGCCACCGTGGCCCAAACTAGGCCCGTAGTGTGGTGCTTGCGAATGTACTGCTGCAGCGACTGCAGAAAGACAATCAGCGTCCGGGCCCAGGTGACGTGATGGGCCAGCTCCGGCTTCTCCTTGTAGGCGACCNGTCGGCGAAGAGCGCAGCCCGGGCGTCATCCATCGCCTTGTCGCCGCCCCCGTGAGCCGAGGGGCCTAGGTTGAGGTTGCACGGAGGAGGGGGCGGAGGCGGTGCACCACCAACACCACCGGGGATCGTCGCCACCGAGGCCCAAACTAGGCCCGTAGTGTGGTGCTTGCGAATGTACTGCTGCAGCGACTGCAGAAAGACAATCAGCGTCCGGGCCCAGGTGACGTGATGGGCCAGCTCCGGCTTCTCCTTGTAGGCGACCAGGATCTTGTTGGTGAAGAACTGCGTCATGTCGGCGACCTCCTTGGCGAATGGCGCCGGCGTCGGAGCGACAGCTAGCCAGGCGAGCACATTGGCGCTCTCCGAGAGTGCCGACAGATGATTGAAGAGCTCGTGTTTGCGATTCTTTTCTTTCAGCTCCTGTAAAGGAAAAGAAAGGGAATGAAGAAAAGAACAATAAGTTATGAGCTGGTGGTGATGACTAATGTGCAGTTGCTGCTTCTACTAACGTGAATAGCACTGGCCAGACTGTTGAGCGGCTGGAGCAGTTGCAGTAGCTCGCCATCAGTGGCCGGCTTCGCCGACTTGCCCGCCATCTCGATGAATGACCGCTGCT